CGTTTATTAGAACAATTAAATTTAATATTAAAATGGCATAATAGTCAAGGTTTATCAGATACATATGTAACATGTATTTATTCAATACAAAAACATTATTCATTAATTGCTGATAAAACGTGAGAAAACATTTTTTATTGATGAAGAAGAAAAATAATTTCGATATATTTGTTTTTTCTAGTGTGATGAATAAATTAATATTTGGTTTAAAGAAAATGTATGGAGATATTAAAATTGAATGTTTAGAATCATTAATTGCCAATATAACTGAATTTGATTCAGCATATTTAGAATTACGAGCAGCAGGAATATTAGATATTCTTATTCACAAGTAAATAGATCATTTTAATGTTCAAATATAGAATTAATATTCAATACATTCTTTATTTCTACGAAATTTGAATAAGATTTTTATTATTATAATTACTTTTAGATTTTATGAAAAGTTACTTTATTGTCTATTAAATAGTTCGATATAAAAACAAGCATTTCGTAACAGATGTATGTTGAGCGACTGTGAATATTCTGAAGATTCAGTCCTATAAACCTTACTTCCGTTGAGTTAGTCTTGAAAGGTCAGCGTTGACAAAGTGACACGAAAAAGGATATAGATTATCATTAAGTACGTTTCCATTTAAAAATTTTACAAGTTCAAGCAATATTTGTGAACACTAAATGGGTCCATTTTGTATAGAACCCTTCATACAATAAAATCTCCCTGCAAAGTTTTTCTTGAACGTACTTATTTTTCAAAAAATTTGAGTTCACTCGTAATTGTTTTTGATAATCGGAAGATAATAGCAAAACGTAAGATCTTGTCCGGGGACAAGAGCAGATTTCTGAGAAACCAGTTTTTAGAAAAGCAATTCTTTGTAAATTATTTTCTAATTAACTAATTATCTAATTAAATCTTAATTAATTAATTAACTAATTCGTTTTCATTAGGTATGAGCTGAGTCAAAGATGGTCATGTTCTGTTGTTGATTTTGTCTATATAGTGTATGAATGAAGAGTTCTTCTCAAATTATTGATTTAATCAAATCAAAGACC